ATCCTTTAAACTATGCAACATACTTGTCAGCATTTATGGCGTGTTAGATATACATCAGATGACTTAGGGTCCACGGGGGCAGTTATTTAGTGACACAAAAACACTGAATGACCTAAGGGACTTGAACATCTGTAGATCTTGGTATCTGCAGGGCCATGGAACCAATGCCCCAGGGAGACTGAGGGTGACTTTTTCACCCAGCTCAGGCTGTCCCTCCCCTTTAGCCAGCTTCTTCCTTGGGCTTCATATTGGGACCTTCTTCCCCCAGTTGCTTTAAAAGGGAACTTCCCACCCAGAAGTCCCACTGCATCAGCAAATGCTGTTGAGCCCTGGGCCTCATGACGCCCTACCTCCGTGTGCCAGGCCCAGGCCATCAACATCTTCCTCGAGGGAAAGACGTTGGCTTCATCATTGCCTCTGGCTCCTGCTCTTGCTTTCTTCCTGGCAGCTGGAGCTACCGTTTTGTTTTTTTTTTAAATATTTATTTATTTATTTTTATTATCTATTATGTATACAATATTCTGTCTGTGTGTATGTCTGCAAGCCAGAAGAGGGCACCAGACCTCATTACAGATGGTTGTGAGCCATCATGTGGTTGCCGGGAATTGAACTAAGGACCTTTGGAAGAGCAGGCAGTGCTCTTAACCACTGAGCCATCTCTCCAGCCCCCCGTTTTTTTTTTATATATATATAAAAAAAACCTTTGTGTATAATGTGATTATAAAAATATGTACCATATACCAGTGTAGCTGTGTTTTGAAAATTGAACTAATCTGACTGACTATATACAGAACCAGGAGCTTGTACAGCAACCTCAGGGTGACACAAATTCCCTGCCTCAGGTTGTCCCACAAGTCTACATTCCTTCCCTTGACTGTCTATCCTGCTCTGAACACTCTGGCCCAGGCTCTGACCCAAAGCAGGCCATACTGTTGCTACCTATGCCCTCAAATCCAACACCCTCTCCCCTTGTCCTCCCCCAACAGACACTGCTCTCCGTATCTCTAGCTCTTCTCTCTTCAGTCCTGGAACTGAAACTCAGGGTCTCATACATGCCAGGCAAGTGCCGCAACCCCAGCCAGCATGACCTTTAAAAAACTCCATGTGCCAGGTGGTGGTGGTGCACGCCTTTAATCCCAGCACTCGGGAGGCAAAGGCAGGCAGATCTCTGTGAGTTTCAGGCCATTCTGGTCTACAGAGCAAGTTCTAGGACAGGTTCCAAAGCTACACAGAGAAACCCTGTCTTGAACACCACAAACAGGGGGTTGGAGAGATGGCTCAGCAGTTAAGAGCACTGGCTGCACTTCTAGAGGACCCGGGTTCAAGTCCCAGCACCCACATGACAGCTTATAGCTGTCTGTAACTCTTGTTCCAAAAGGATCTGATTCCCATATACAGACATACTTGCAGGCAAAACACCAATGTATATAAAATTAAAAAAGTAAGTTATTTAAAAAAATACAAACAAATAAAACAAAAACCAACCCCCCCCCCAAAAAAAACCAAACCCATGACTTCACCTACTGATTTACTGATTTACAATCCTGTTTCTACCCTTTTCCCCCTCCCCCATGAGAGGCTGCAGCCAGGTCCTTCTTGCCCATCCTGCACTTGTTGATGGTAATTACTCTGCCAAACGAACAAATAAAAATGCCAGAACAACTGGTATGGGGAGACTGTGGGCATGCAGCCAGCAACAAACAAGCTGAGGGGTGCTCTGGAGGACCCGGGGCCCCGGGAGACCATCAGGATGCTGCCGTCTCACTTACCCAGTTCTCCATTTTCTTGGCCCTGCGCTCCAGTCCCTTCTGCAGGCGTTCCCCTACACCCCCTGAGGTCTGAAATTCGTCCACCAGTTGCTTGGTGTGGGCCCACTCTTCCTCACTCACGATGGGCTGCAGTGCCTTGAGGTAATGGTCCAGGGACTGCTGCAGTGGGGGCACGGGCAGTCTTGGCAGTGCATCCTGGTGGGCCTTGAAGCGACCAGAAACCTTCATCAGGGAGGAGGGCTTGAGGAGGCCCAGGGGCTTCACCTGAGGGAAGCAGAACAGCTTATTCATTCTCTCAGAGTGAAGCGCAGCTCTCCCGAAACTAGGCGCTTATATGCCATCCCTGGGGCAAAGACAGTTTAATGGGTGGTGTCTTCTCTGGATGCCCAGCCCTCCAGGTATAGGAGTCCCACCTCTCAGGAGCCTAGGGGTGCAGGGAGGCTAGCAAAGGGCAGGGGCAGGGATGAATGACATTGTTGGGGTGGCAGAGGTAAGGGGGCCTCACACCTATCAGGATGCACAAGACCCATTATCCTTTCTACCCTGGGCAGATAAGTTAGTCAGCAGAGAGGCGGCCACTGGCTCTCTAAGCAGAGGTCCCCAACTCCGCCCCCCCCCCTTTCCAGTTTGAGAAATAGGAAGGAATCGGAAACAGGAGAATCAGACAGTGACAGCGCTTCTGGGTGAAGCTTTAGGCTCTGGGCTTTCTCTTCACTGTGGGGTGATGATCAGGGGTATGGGGTGGTGAGGCAGTGAGAGAGCTGAGTAGCCTGGCATGGAGGGTGAGAGGTAGCAGAGAGAGAAGGGAGAGTCCAGGAGCCTCCGGAGGTGGCAGGAAGCGAGGTAGGAAGGTCCCAGGCTGCTGGCACAGTGGCAGGCAAGCGGCAGAAGCTCCATTCCATACCTTCTCTCTCTGCTGCTCGTCCTCCATGGCAGGACTGAGGATGTGAGCCCTGTCTGTCTGCCTTGGCTGGATCTCTAAGCCTAACTGCACTACCAACTGGACGAGCAGAAATTAGCAAGAGGCAGCCACCTGCCCGGGCTGGAAAGAGAAGACAAGATCCACACTTCAGGGCTGAGGAGCAGCGAGGCAGCAGCCAGGGATGTGGTGGCATCTAAGGCTGCAGCCGTGGTGGCTACAGGGTCGCAGCAGCTGCTCCTTCACGTCTCTCTAGCTGGTGAGTGGGCTGGAAGTAGGCACTGGAGTAGGAGGAAACCTGGACTTTCTCCTTTCTTCTTTGGATGGGCCCAGTGCCAGGGAGGCAAGCCAAAAGGTATTAAAAATTCACCTGTCAAAATCTCCATAGATCTTTTTGATGTGGGGAAAACTTGGCTGGAGGGTGGAAACAGCCTGGCTGCTAACCCGTGGCCCTGAAATCAGTCCTGTTTGGGACTATGCAAGACAGAAGATGGCAGGAAAGGGCCACTAGTGGACAGTGATTGCTACAAACCTGTTTCCCTTCTAGGCTCAGGGGCTTTTGGTGGCCACCCCCTACCAAAATCTGTTTTTTGTTTGTTTGTTTGTTTGTTTTTTCTGAGCTCTAGATCATTCAGGTTGCAATCACAAGAGTGGGTGTGGGCGTGTTGGGGGCTGGAGTACTTTTGGTATGAATAATAAACCAAAGGACTCTCGTCTGGATATTGGGCTAAATTGATTAGCAGAGTCGTGGGATGTGATTGTCATCTTCTTGCTACAGTTTCGCTAGCATTAAAGTGATTGTACCAGTATGGTGGTCCCAGAGGATGATGTAAAAGCAGTCTGTTGGGATGGTGTACAGCTTTTGAAAAGGGCGAGGCGGTTCTCAGGTGCTACTAGGACCCCTAGAAGAGCCTTGGTCTGAACTGTTATGGGTACCTTTAGCTGCCAATTCAGTGTCTGAGATGGAGACACAGCTTGCAGCCATACAGAAAGCTTGAATCGGAGAGAAAAGGAGCTCACATCAGGATAACAGCATTGGGGAAGGATGGCGAAGGGATGCCTGCCACCTCCTTGCCTGTTCTGGGGACTTTCAGTAAGGAGCTCACATCAGGATAGTAGCATTGGGGAAGAATGGCAAAGGGCTGCCTGCCACCTCCTTGCCTTTCCGGGGACTTTCAGTACAAGTCTCCACCGTAGTTCTCTTAGTCACATACAGTGGGGGAGGGTGAGCACCCGATGAACTCAAGGAGAATGACCAACTGGGTAGGCTTGGAAAAGTGGCTCTGGTGGGGGCAAAAGCAACCGGGCCTGAGGCTGAGTCCTAGCCAGGAGGTCCCGAAGGGTGTCTGAATCAGAATACCCGAAAGCATGAAGGAGGAGCGGGATGGGGTGTGAAGATGCAAAAGATTGGAACTTAGGCTTTTCTTGGGTCGTTGACAATGAGCACCAGAGGTCTCGGGTTCGATCCCGCCCCTCACCTGGTCGCTCTACTCTGCCCACCTTGCAGACCGCACCCTATCAGCCGGTGTGGGGATTCTGGACTGTCATTTCCCTACAGCCCACGGCCCGCCCGCCTTCCCCGGTCCCGAACCTTCCCGGGCATGCTCACCACGGTCCTGGCAGCAAAGGCCAACATCGTCCCAGCCTGTGTGCGGACACAAGGTCCGCTCCGCCCTTCGCGCTGGGCAAAGTCTGCGCCTCTATGGGGTCAGTGGGTTCCCCTCTCGGGTTCTAGGTTCAAGGTCACCGAGTCACCGCTGCCAGCCAGGAGAGGCGGCCCCGCGCCCACCGGGCCGGGCGGGCGGCCGGTGGAGCAGGACTCACGGGGCGGAGCCTAAGCGGGTCGCGGTCCCGGGCCGCTATCCGCGAGCCGGGGGCGGGGCCAAGTCTGGACGTGATCGCGGGGGCGGGGTCTGCGGCGCCGGGGTCTCCGAGTCAGCCGTTAGCAGCCAGGCCCCGGGCCGCCGTCTCGGGTCCCAACGGTGGCCAGAGTCCAGCTCGCGCTGTCAGCCTCCGAACGCCACCTAGGCTGTCGAGGCGGTTGAGGCGGTTGAGGGCGTCCAGCAAGTCCGATTGGTGTCCTTGAACGTCACTCCTCGAGTTGCAGGAAAACATAACTGTGTTGACAGGGGACTGTCTCAGGTTCTTTGGGGCTAGGCTCAGTGCCATTCACAAGGATGACAGGTGGCCTTGCCCCGCAAAAATATGGCTGCCACATATTCCCCCCTCCCCCGAAGCCGGACGCCCCGCACAAATATGGCGGCAGCACCTGCAGTTGGCTCGCGGACGGCAGCCGTTAGTGCGCATGCTCCCGGCGCCCCGCACCAAAATGGCCGCTGCTGTCTGTCGGCGCGGCCGCCGCGAGACGGCAGTTGCTGGGCATGCTCCCTGAATGCCCCGCACTGGCATGGCTGCCGCCTCCACGAGAGTGACTCTAATTCTCGGCTTCCGGTCGTAGCCGGCCGGCGCTCATTTCCCTTCTGGAAGCTTAGTGGAGCCGGGGAAAGGTGCGGGGTGAACGCTGAGCGGGAACTGCGAGCATCCGCGCCGGCTCCTAACGGAGAAGATGGCTGAGGGCGAGCGGCAGCCGCCGCCAGGTAGGGCGGTTGGAGGGCCCCGGCCTGCGGATAGGAGAGGGGTGTGGCTGGGGGGGGGTTCTCAGGAGCGGGAGGAGATGCAGAGGCGTTAGAGGCGAAGCTGCCGGCCTCCCGGGCCGAGGCGGGTGGCGGGGAGGGCGACCGGACTTGGAGAGCCCGGGGCTGTCCGAGGGCTGGGCAGGGCAGAGCGTGCTGGGGTGAAAGATGCCTGGGGTCGGGAGTGAGGGAGGTCTAGGAGGCTGCCCTCTTTATGAGACTTTGCTCGAGTGGGCCTCGGCCTCGCTCGCACGCCAGTTTCCTCCATGCCCTGCCTACCCTGCATCACCCTCCCTCCCTCCCTCCCCGGGGTTTCAGTGTCTGCGGAGTCGAGAGAAACTACCCTTGGTGTCTAAACCACTAATTTAAAAAGGCTGTTTGTGCAAGATGAGCGGGTGGGTGGCATCACCGTCTATGACTTTTATTTACGTTGTGCCTCATTGTAGTTTATCGCAAGGAACTAGGGCAGAGGCACAGGCCGGCGCTTCCTGGAGAAGAAAGCAGTATGCAGACTCTGTGCAGTTAAGAAGGCCCGGAAAATTCTTACAGAGAATGAATAGTTTGGCCAAACACAGCTCATGTTTTGAAAGCGTTTCATGATCCTTCGGCCACGCTTCATATTTTGTGGTCCCAAAGAAAGTCTCAGTAGAGAGAAAGCGATGAGCATAGTGGAACTCAAAAGCAGGCGTTTATTTTAAATTATGCTCAAACCTCTGTGGATGTGTCCTAATGAGTTGAGGGGATGACAGCAGGAGCTGGGAGCTATAGGCAGGCAGACACATGTTGGAATGAGGGTCCCTCAAGACAGGGAAGCGCTGTGGGGACCAGAACCTGTGCACTGAAACAAACAAAACAAAAACCTTGGGGAGATCTGTGACTTCTGGAAAGACACAGTCTCTGGAAGCAGCCCCTTTTTGAAGTCTGAAATAATATTTATGTATTTGAAAGCAGGGTCTCACTATATATGTGTAGCCTTGACTGTAGACCAGATTGGCCTCAAATTTACAGGGATCTGCTGCTTCTGCCTCTGAGTGCTGGGATTAAAGGTGTGTGCCATCATGCCCAGAGGAGTTATTTTTTAAAATCAATTTTATCAGTTTTAACTTATGTTTTAGAAATGAAATAGATTTGAGCACCTATGAAGGGCAGCTTTATGGCAGGTAACGAGAGTAGCGCCCGCGGCCCAAACAGGAGTTTTTAGATTATTAACTGGTGAGAAATTCTGTAAAGTTGTGGAAAGTTTGGAGTTACACAGACTAATATGGCAAGTCACAACCTCTGTGTCCTTTAGTAGACTGAAAATAAGGATATTCTTGCTCAGCAAGTAAAGGTGTTTGCTGCCAAGCCTGGTGACCTGAGTTTGATTCCTGGAACCCACAAGGTAGAAGGATAGAACTAACTCTTGCTTGTTCTCCTCTGACATCCACACATGTGCATGCACACACACGTGCGCACGCATACTCTAGAAATGTAATTTTAAATGAGGTTATCCAACTTTCCTCATGGAATATGTGGGCATCAGATGTGACCAGCGTGGGGTGTGGCGGGTACACAGTGGAGGTAAACATATCACATCCAAATGGGAAGTGATAGTTCAGGCACACTCTTGGGGGGCATTGTGGGTATTTTTGTTTGTTTTGATACAGGGTATCACTGTGTATCTCCAAATTTCTCTAGGAAGATTGTGTTCTCTGCACATGCCACACAGAACTTTTCCAGGACTAGAACTCACAGTGTAGACCAGACTGGAACAGAGCTCACCCAGCATGTGCTTTTGATACAAGGCCACTGGCCCTGGCTGCCCCGGAAATCATCCTACAGCCAAGAATGACTTTGAGTACCCGATCTCTTTTCTCCCTCTCCTGAGAGTTGGGGTTAGAGGTGTGGGCCACAGTGCTCAGCTCTTAGGCTTTTGAGGCAAGGTTTTACTATGTGGCCAAGGCTGGCTAGAATTGGGGATCTTCCTGCCTCTATCCACTGAATGCTGGAACTGCAGTGATGTATTACTGCACCTGGGCTACTTTGGGGTTTTTAAGGAACACCGTAAAACTCTTCATGTTTTGATCTTAAACTGTCCATTGGCTCTGAATCCTGTGTCAGAGGCAGCCTGTGGCTGGAGAAGCTGTGGGTATGCTCTCTCTTGTACTCTTGTCTCTATTAGTTTTTGTTTGCTTTTGCTTTTGTTTGGTTTTGATTTGGAAATGTGTATTCTGTTGACTGTGTTTCTTCAGGGACTTATTGTTCTGCTTCATATAACGTGGCCTCTGCTCTTGGGATTGTAGCCAGGCCTGTAGGCCTCTCCTCTGTGAAATAGTGTCTGGAGGGCAGTTTGTTGCAGGGAATAGATAGGTCTCTTACAAGAGGCCTGGGTCCCAAAGATCATATGCAGGCTGTTTATTTGCAATGGGGAAGACATTCCTCATAAAATGTGTCCCCATAAACTGTGGTTGGCTCCTCAGCAGATTGGCTTTAAAGCTTTTTATTTAGCATCTTACTTGGAGTAGCAATTTACTATTAGAAAGGGCTGGGGTGGGGCTCTGGGAACAGTATATGTGTGGGGTGGGAGGAATAGGAGGCTGAGGGAGCTTGTGGACTTCCTGTGTGTGACCTTTTCCCTTCCTTCACCTTCTACTTTACTTTTGAGTCCTGAGTCTGGAAAGTTTATCTTGCTCTTATCTCACTTTCTAACTTTCCCCTTAGGCTTACAAGTCCTCTGGTACTTTTAGTTTCCTCACTATGTCTCTTGGAAGGCTCTGTCCTTGCCACAGCTACTTTTACTGCCTGCAGGTTTTAGAGGAAGGCAGCAGGGCAGGTTTATGTTCTGTGGAGCCTTGTTCACCTTCCTGAGAGCTGCATTTTTAAATGCGGCTGACCCACCATGTCCCCAGTTGCAGACTCAGGCTTGAGCTCGTGCTCTGAAACCCGTGGCAGGTGTGTTGGAATTCAATTTCTTGTGCTTAAAGAGGTACACTCCTCTTTAAACTCCAAGCAAAACTATTTCAGCATTATATAAATGCCTTCACTAAGCAGGAAATACAAAGCCTACGAATGTCTTCATATTAGTTTATGAACTTATTTTGGGACCACACAATGATGGCACATGCCATTAATCCCAGCACAGGAGAGGCAGAGGCAGGTGGATCTCTGTGAGTTCGAGGCCAGCCTGGTCTACAAAAGCTAGTTCCAGGACAGGCTCCAAAACTACAGAAAAACCCTGTCTCAAAAAAATCCAAACAAGATTCTGTCAAAGTCAACTTGATTTTATTTTTTCTTCCTTCCTTCCTTCCTTCCTTCCTTCCTTCCTTCCTTCCTTCCTTCCTTTCTTTTTCAGACCCAGGCTGCCCGAGAATTTACTGTATATGGTTATCCTCCTGCTTCAGCCTCCCATATCTTGAGACTACAGGCAAGTGCAGTGATTACAAGTGCGTACACCACCGCCTGGCTTGATTTTATTGTTTTAAGTGTCTTGTCCAGTTAGAGATTGTTTTTGGGTTGTTGTCCTCATGTTTTCTTGAGACAGATTATCTCACTGAACCAGGAACTATGGATTAAGCTAGGCTCTGGCCAGTGGGTTCCATGGATCCCCCTGAATGCCTCCCCAGGACTGGCTTGCTCTGTTTTCACTCCTTGTAAAATGAAAGACTGGAAGCTGGTGGGTTTGACTTGGCCTCAAAGGCTGGTATCTTGTTTTAAAAATGAGAGAGAAGTGTGCAGTGGTGGCTCACGCCTTTATACACAGCAGTCAGGAGGCAGAGACAGGCAGATCTCTGAGTTTGAGGCCAGCCTGGTCTACAGAGTGAGTTCCAGGATAGCCAGGGATTCACAGAGAAACCCTGTCTTGAAAAAATTAAAAACAAAACAGAACAAAAAAACCCAACAACTTCACATTAGTTAGTTTGGAAGAATGGTTTGGAGGAAGAAGGAAAAACAAAACAGTAAAAGGAGAAGGCCCATTGATGGTGGTGACACATGTCTTTACTCTTGGAAGGCAGAGGCTGGCAGATCCCTGTGAGCTTAAGGCTAACCTGGTCTACAAGTCGAGTTCCAGGACAGCCGGGGCTACACAGAGAAACCCTGTATCTAAAACAAAAAACCAAAGCAAAACCCAACAAAATAAAAAAGAAAGAAAAAAGAGGGGGAGGTCTGGGTGTGCTGTTCTACTCCTTGATCCATGGACTGAAAGACAAGACAGAGCTCTCTGAGTTTATGGCCAGGCTGATCTATAGAGTGAGGTCTAGGCTAGCCTGGACTATACAGAGAGACCTTGCCTCCAAAAAGAGAGGAGGGTTGGAGGGAGGATGAACTATTGACCTGTTTGCCCTTCCATTTTCTTTGTCCAGATTCTTCAGAGGAGACCCCTCCAACTACTCAGAATTTTATCATTCCAAAAAAGGAGATCCACACCGTTCCAGATATGGGCAAATGGAAGCGGTCTCAGGTACGAATGACGCCTGCACTTGAGGTTGGAGCTGGGGGAGAATCTGAGGCTCTTTAATCGGTAGCTTTCCAGACAGCCCAGGGTATAACCCTCGACTTTCCTGTTCTCGGCACCCGAGCTGTCAGTACTAAGGAGGGAGATGAGAAGGTAGCTGTCTCCCTCCCTCCCACTCAGTGCACAGAATTGCTTTGTCAGGAAGGCCTGGCTGGGGCCCTGGTAAGTCTGGAGCATCCCACTCTGGTTAAATCATTCATCGCTTCTTTAATGTTATACTGAATGAGCTGAATCTTTGAATTCTTGTTTACAAGAACCTACACATAGGAGCCAATTCTAAGGAGGAAAAGAGACTAGCTTGTGGATACCTCAGCCAGGAACATGACTACCCTAAAAATAGCTGGGAATTGAGATCCAGTTCCCTGGCAGGAGGCTGGCCTTCTCTGCTGCATAGCCCAGGTGGTGGGCAGAAGAAAGCTAATTGTGCCTGCTAGTCTTCCAGTCCAGAGCTGAGGAAAGAAAGACCACTTGGAATTCTTAGAGAGGGCCTTGGGCCCAGCTCCAGCCAGCACTAATGCCAGGTCTGTAGCTGCCATGGAGAGTGTCATTTACATAGACGACAGGTACACGGGCCCTTGCTTGTGTGACAGATTGTCCATGCCAAGTCTGCCAGATTTACACTGAGCAGCCGTATGCCTTGCTCCATTGGGTAGGAAGGGTCACAGGAACCTGTCCTTCCCTTCTTTCACAAGCCTGCCCTCTGACAGTTGCAGATGGATATCACGTTCTTTTCTGAGTTTTCACCAGGATAAGCACCGTAGTCCCTTCGGCTGCTCAGAGGCCATGAATGGAGCCCATCATCATCCTAGTTGCTCTGTCACTGTTGAGTCTTGTGGGGGCAGTCCTTGAATGGCAGGCTCTGACCTGACTCTACCTGCTTAATGTCACCAGATGCTGTCCATACCCTCCCAGTTGAGAGACTGTTCTTATCTGGAACTAGCTATCTGAACGTCTGTGACACCACCTTTTGCAGTCCGTGGCAAACACCGGTTCTGGTTAGAACAAGGGATTGGTCTTGTCCTGTGTGGGAAAAGTTTCTGTGTATGATCCCCCTGGTCTGCTGGAGGCCATTTTGCAGGCTTATGGGGGGCTCTAGTATAGACTCACCCAATCTAGATGCCAAATGTTTGTTCTAATGTTTTATCATGGGTGTCCCAGGGGAAGAAAGTAAGAAGTAAAGAAGAAACAAGATGGAATGGAGACACTTGCTCTCAGAAGCCACTTTCCCAGGGGCCTGCATCTCTTGTTTTTTCTCCCTGTGCTAGCCTAACCTGCAACAAAGTAGGAAGAAAGTCCAGCTGATGGTGGGGCTAGTATGCCAGCTGTCATGATTATGGGCAGGAAACAGCTGGCGGCAGAGATTCTGCATTGTAGCTGCCACCCTGACCTGGGGAGATGATCTGGGGAAGGGAGTGTTGGGACATTCCTTAAATGTCTGCTGGTACAGACTCAGCTGTAGAGTTAGGCTGGCAGGGTCCTAGCTCTGTGTCTAATGAAATCTTGGTCCTGGAAAACCATGGGCGAATTACTTTTTTTTTTTTTTAAACTCTATTTTTTAATGTTTTATTTATTATTTATTATGTATACAGTATTCTGCCTGCACATACACCTGCAGGCCAGAAGAGGGCATCAGATCTTATTACAGATGCTTGTGAGCCACCATGTGGTTGCTGGGAATTGAACTCAGGACCTTTGGAAGAGCAGTCAGTGTTCTTAACCTCTGAGCCCAGCCCGGGCGAATTACTTGTTAAAGTCTTTGTTTCTTTGTTAGTAAGGTGGTGACAACAGTGTCTTCCTGTGGGACTGTCTAAAGAAACTACCTACAGCAATTGTGAGCACTTGGTAGACCTTGGCTAGGAATTGGCTGTGGTTGTGATCACTGAATGGCTGGCTTTATTGATGGAGCAGTCTGTGTATTTGGTGCTATCTGTTTACTTCTGGTACTGAGTTGGGAGTGGGAGCTGGGGCAGCTGGGGTAACTGGGGTGGAGCTACCGTCTTCTGACACCATCTTCCTTCCCTCCTCTTCTCATTTGGCAGGCTTATGCTGACTACATCGGCTTTATCCTCACTCTCAATGAAGGTGTGAAAGGGAAGAAACTGACTTTTGACTACAAAGTCTCTGAGGTAGGCACAGGCAAGGAGTCCTGCTCCAGCCCACACAGGGTGATATCCATGGCAGGCAGATGCAGACTATGATTTGCCTAGCACAGTGCCAGAAGATTTGTGGCCCATACTCCTAATGTTTTAAATCTATGAATAAAATCACATTTATAACTAAAATCAAGGTAAATATACAATTTTAAAGTCTGTATTTTTTCTAATTGGTATTTTTTTATTAAGCTTGAAATTAAAGATGACAGAAGGGGCTGGAAATGTGGCCAAGTGCTTGCCTAGCATACGCACAGCCCTGGGTTCCATACCTAGAGCTGGAAAAAAAAAATTAAGGTAGTAGATGAGTTCTCTGGAGAGATCTCTAGCGGAAGCATGCATGGCATCAATGGAGACCAAAATAGGGTTAGTTCTAGTTCTGTAGTAGATCCAACACATACTTGGCATGCATTAGGCCCTGAGTTCAAACTGCAGCACCATACCTTCCCAGGACAGCCCTGGTGATAGTGCACAGGCACACCTCCTGTCTGTTGGTATAACTGCTGAGACATCCCCTCGTTTGTTCTAACAGTCCTGACTTTGCAGCTGTATCCCTGGGCACTGTTGTTCTGAGCATTTGACAAGGAGATCTGTGGGCCATTTCCTCACCTTCATTCCTAGCAGAAATGCTGAGCAGAGAGCACGGGCAGGCTCTTGCTTTGGGGATCCCCCTGTTTAACAGGTACTCTGGTTGTTTTAGAGACAGACTTGATTTTAGGAAAGGCATGGACTGGGAACAGATGACCAGCCACCTCTACCACTGGAGGGTGTAGTCTTCCTTGCTACATGCTGTTGCAATGCCGTCTTCCAGAACTGGGTCCCAGGTTTCCAGTGGCCTCTTAGGTTCATGTCCCAGTTGGCCCAGGGCCACCCTGAGCCTCTTATCTCAGACACCAGTGGCTGAGTAGCCTCTTAGCACTTTGGCTTTCTGCCCTCTAGTTACTGCTGGGGCCTATTGAGTAAGGTCTGGCCTTGTCCTGGCCTAGTTTCTTCATCTGTCCTAGCCTAACATTGCCCCGTTTTAGCCCTCATACCAGGTCAACTGCTGGGTGTTATAGTCTTGCTCTTTGTACTAGATAGGAGCTAGGACTGCACTGAGAGACAGCTGGCCCTTGAGAGCTAGCCCATAAGTGACTCCTTGGATTGTCTCTTTTGGGGCTGTGACTTTGGGTATAGACTGACAGGGAGGATGAGCTCAGCAGTGCCCAGTATGCTGGAAACATCAAGGGGAGCTAATTAAAGGAGAATTCATAATTACCCCAGCCAGGACTGAGCTACCAATCCCCTTGGGTCCTCAATTGCTCCAGAGTGTCTATGGGAGCAGGCCTCACTGATCAGTCGTTGCCTTGACTGAAGGACTGCTCTTTTGGCAGTATCTTATTGTCTTTCAGAGTTTGCCGCACACCACCTCCCAGCTGAGTGGCTTTGCTCCCCTCCACCCCAGATTTTTTTAGTGCTGGGGATAGAACCTAACACTCTGCATACGCTAGGCAAGAGCTCTACACTAAATCGTATCTCTATCTCCAATTCATCTTTATCTCCAATTTACTGGATAATCTAGGCTGCCTTCAAACTTGTGTTCTTCCTGCCTCTGCCTTCCAAGTACCAGGATTATGTTTTCATCACCTATAATCCTTCCTTCTTGTCCTTTCTTGCCCTCTGTAGAGTGGCTGGGCCCTCAGGATGTAGGACATGAGGTGGGGAGCCACTAGAATCCCATGTGCAGAGGTTATCGTGTGCTGAAAGCCTCTGCTGTTCTTAGCTCCGTGTCAGCAGGCTCACTTAGGCTCTCTCAGCTCTAACTTTCTTTGCTTTTCTTTTCTCTTCTTTTTTTTTTTTTTTAAAGATTTTCTTTATTCACTATGTATACAGTATTCTGTCTGCATGTATGCCTGCAGGCCAGATCTCATTACAGATGGTTGTGAGCCACCATGTGGTTGCTGGGAATTGAATTCAGGATCTCTGGAATAGCAGGCAGTGTTCTTAACCTCTGAGCCGTCTGTCTCTCCAACTCCCTCAACTCTAACTTTCCACCAGATGTTCTTGTTTTAGCTGGGGCACTGCCTAAGCTGGATCCATTCCTATGCCTACCTCAGTGGTGTACAGCCAATTTGGTCCTCAGAAGTCTCCTGTGTTGGCAGGGGCAGCAGAAGGTGCCAGTCATAGCATGTAGCCATGGCTGTGTATAATGCTTTCCTTGTCGCACTCAGCACAGCAGCCAGAGCTCCTGTGTCCTCTTAATTACAGCACAGATAGCTCTCAAGCAAGAGTGGAGGGACCTAGGCTAGTGATTTCCATACAACCCGAAGCACAAGACAAACCACAGCAAGGTAGAGAGTTTGTTTAGACCCGTGATGACAAGTTGTTCTTTAGATTATACCTATGCTAGTACTGGAGAGGGTTTCTATTTTGTTTTGTTTGCTGTTTGCTTGTTTTTTTTTTTTTTTTTTGTTTTTTTTAAAGAAAGGGTGATGGGTCTGGAAAGCTTTTGTTTGTTTTTGAGACAGGGTCACTCTATATAGCCTTACCTGGCCTGGATCTTACTGTGTAGACCAGACTGAACTTGAACTCACAGAGATCCTCATACCTTTGCTTCCTGAGTTCTGGAAAGAAAGACATTTGATACCACACCTTATTTTGTTGTTTCTTTTGCCTTTGTGGGTTTCTTCTTGGCGGCGGGGGGGGGGGGGGCCGGGAGTTTTGAGACAGGGAGACAGGCTTCTCTGTAGCCCTGAGTGTCCTGGAGCTCACTTTGTAGACCAAGGTGACTTTGAACTCAGAATGCCTCTACCACCAGGGCAGAATGAGAAGTTGGCAAGTATAATCTTAGTTCAAGAGACACTGCTATAGGGATGAGAGGGGCACAAGTTATTCTTTGTGCCTTGGGGTGGGGTGGGGTGGGGTGGTTCCAGCCCAGGATTACTTCTCTCTCCAGCAGGCCAGACAATGGATGCAGAAGGAGGAGCTATGAGTGTGTTAATTATTTACCAGCCCAGCTGAGCTAGCTTCTGGGTCCAGGCTCCTGCTGACCTTTGGAGCCACGTTCTTTATCCCCTTTAGTGCCTTGTCAGGGCTGCAAGCAGAGATCTCCAGGGAGCCTGGTGCTTCCTGGGGCTAAGATGTCCCAACCTCCTGCAAGACCCAGTTGCCCTGTGAAATGAGCTTTGGCTTATACTCAGCATGAGTTCCTGGTGACCTGCTTCCTCCCAGAGCCTGACTCTGGCAGCACTTGCACCTACAGTTATGCCACTCTAGCCACCGCCTAAGCCGACAGGCAATTTCTTCCTCCATGCCCCAAGAATAGGTGAGGAGGTGGCTTCCCACCTCTTCAGCAGCCTTCTGGGCCAGTGTAATGCTGTGCAGCTAGAGTCCTTTGCAACTGGGGTCACTGGAACCCTAGTCCTCAGCAGGTACTCGGCCCTACCCAGTTCCAGGATCTCCTGGAGATTTCGTTTATGCTGAGCATTCCCATCGTCACAGACAGAATCTACCTTCTGGCAGGGACCCTCTTCCCAAGGCTTCCTGGCCTTGAGTTGCCATACAGTCTTACAGCCCTTAATCCTGACTTGTTTCTCCAAGCCACACCTGTGCCTGAAGGAACATGTGGATGGACGCCTGACCTGATTCCTCTGTAAACAGCATTTGATATACTGGTGCCTCCCACGCCTGTGACTCTGCTTCCTGGTGCTGGGGGGCGGTCATGGAGAGATGGGTTCTTAGGCTGCCAGCTCTCAAAGCTTTGTACAGGTAATCCCAGATTGACACTAAGACAGCACTTCAGAATTGTGAACCAGTATTGTGTCTGGTAGTGAAACATGAAGAAAGCCTAGACATTTAACAATGAGGACCATTAAGGGGGTCACAGCATTCTGTGTATACACTGGTGTAAAATGAGGTTCGGGGGAAAGGAGCAAGCTAAGGCATTTGTCCATTGTCCAGTCTCAGGGTCTGCAGGCATTATGTATATCCCATTGCTTTGTGGCAGGCTCTTTCCCTCACGTTTGGAAGAAAAAGACAAGCTCGGGTCTCTAAGTAGCTCAGTGCTGTTTTAGTAGTGTTGGAGGCAGGCTATCTGCCTGTGGAGTTAGTTCTTGAAGTGCTGAGCAGAGGAGCACTAGAGAAAACAAACCAGGATGTTCAGATGCTGGTGGTGTTGGTTTTGGGAGGTCAGAGTTACTGGCTGTATTATTATTGCTGTGATCAGTACCTGACAAGAAGCAGCTTAAGGGAGAGGGTTATTCTGGCTTGCAGTTGAGGTACAGTTCATCATGGCAGGGAAGGTAGAACCAGCTGAAGGGATGTGGGGTGACTGTTCGCATGGCATCCACAGTCAGGAAATAGAGATGAAGGCTCAGCTGGATTTCTCCTTTTATCCTTATTATTCAGTCTGGGATCCCACCATTCAGGGTGGGTCTTCCTCTTCATTTAAAGCATTTAGAAAATGCCCTAGGGACACACACAGGATGCTTCTACAGGGGTTCTGAATGGATCATGATGACAATGAAAATTGTCTTAGTTTTTCTATGACTGTGATAAAGCACCATAACCAGCATGGTGTGGTGGTGCACACCTTTAATCACAGTACTCAGGAGGCCGAGGCAGGCAGATCTCTGTGAGTTTGAGACTAGCCTGGTCTACAGAGACAGCTAGGGTTGTTACACAAAGAAACCCTATCTTGGAAAAATCCTTAAAAAAAAAAAGACACTATAACCAAAAGCAGCTTTGGAGAGGAAAGGTTTTATTTCCGCTTGCAACTCTCACGTCACAGTGTAGCGCTGAGGGGAGTCAGGAGGAGCTTGAGCGGAGGCCTAAAGGAGTACCGCTTACTGGTTTGTTCTTCATGGCTTGCTCAGCCAGGCTGGCCTCGAACTCAGAGATCCGACTGCCTCTGTCTCGTCCCGAATGCTAGGATTAAAGGATTGCACCACCACTGCCTGGCTTCAGCCTGTTTCTTACAGAACCCAGGCCACCTGTCCAGGATTAGCACTGCCCACAGTAAGCTGGGCCCTCATTTATCAGTCATCAGTCAAGAAAATACCACAAGCTGTCCCAATAGGCCAGTCTAGTGGGACATTTTCCCAGCTAAGGTTCCCTCTTCCCAAATGGTGCTAGCTTTGTCTAACCAGCACAGAGATGACACGTACCACACTGCATATCTCTTCTCTTCTGTCATACATCCGTGCTGTTCAGTGAAAGACTTCAGTCACATCTGCTTTAACAAAGGTGGGGACTGGGGTTTGTACCTATCTAGCAGCCTCTCCTGGGTAGCCCGGCTGAAGAAACAGTTGGAGCTACCCATGACACTGGTCTGTCAGCCAGTGTAATTTCCTCTCTGAAGGGAAGTTCACTCCCTGACCCTCCTTCATATTCAGGACAGTTAAGAATGAGAGTAACAGCTAGGCCAGCCTAGGGGCCACCTCCTACAGCAATTGAGATTTCCTTCTGTGGCTCTAGCAGGGCTGCCAGTCACTGGTGTGGTTCCTCTATCTCACCTTCACAGGCCATTGAGAAGCTGGTGGCTCTTCTTGATACGCTGGATAGGTGGATTGATGAAACCCCACCGGTGGACCAGCCCTCCCGGTTTGGAAACAAGGCCTACAGGACGTGGTATGCCAAACTTGATCAGGTGAGACTTGTCAGAGCACAGGGTGGGCCGGGCCAGTGGAAGGACTATTATGGCTCCAGATGGGGCAAGGTAATTTGTCAGAATGGCAGTTTTATTTACCTAAATTACAAAATCATTCTCTGTCCCAGCCAGTCTTTTGGGAACTGCAGGTGTGGCTATCCTATCCCCTGTATAAGGCTGCTTATTAAATCATTTTGTTAGCATCAGATTGGACATGACATGTTAACTATAGTACTGTGAAGTACTATACAGCTGTGAAAAGGAATAAGGAAGCCGGGCGGTGGTGGCGCACGCCTTTAATCCCTGCTCGTGGGAGACAGAGGCAGGCAGAAAAAATTCCCCCCAAAAAGGATAAGGAAAAGCCGGGCATGAGCTCATACCTTGGATCCCAGTTTTTGGGTAGCAGAAACCAGTGGATTCCTATGAGTTTGAGGCCAGCCTGATCTCTATAACAAATTTCAAGCCAGCCAGGACTACATAATGAGACCCTATCTTAAAAACCAAAACAAGTGATATGACTTTTAAAAAGCTCCAGTCTTTAAAAAACTCTTTACACCTAAAAGGTCCCAGTTCTCTTTAAAATCTGAGTCTTAACTAGGCTCTTATAAAATAGAAAATAAGGGATGATCAAAGTATAGTTATGATCAAATCAAAGTAGAACCAAAATTCAATGGTATTAAAATAAAATTTCAGCTTCTCACATCTAGAATTCACACATGATCTTCTAGGCTCCAAAGGGCTTGGGCCAGCCTTTGTCTCCTGCTCTGTCATCTGCAGCACACATAGCTTGTCTTGTAGGCTCAGCTCTATTCTACTCTTTCCATGATCCTTGTGCTATCAGTGTCCTGTAGTTTCCATTGCAATGGAGGCTACACCATCACTAATGTCCTCCACACCCCAGCCTCTCTTCAGGGACTCTGACCTTGCCACTTGATGTCAAGCCCCAGCTTCTCTCCTCCATGACTCTTCATGCCTTCAAAATCAAAAGACTCTTACATGTTGCCCAGTTTAGCTTCCAGCTGGAGATGTAGCCTTGCCCAGAGCAGCTTGTCTACACAGGTTATCTGGTGAAATATTTCCCAGAAGACTTCTCCTTAATGATGCTGATCTCGTATTAATCACAGCCGATTTCTCAGCACCAGCTGACCAGAAACCATCACATGAGCAGCCTCTGTAGAATCTGCTTCTTTGTGAAACTTGACAAGCCAGGCCTCCATTGTCTGTATTTTTCTCAATACTCTTCCAAGCTCCCACAGAACAGCCCATTAAGCTCTGAGGACTTGATGTTTTTTCCAGCTGAGTGTGCCAAACCACAACTTTCCAACAAAACATGGTCAGATCTACTGATGCAACAGCTCACTCCTGGTACCAGTTTTTATTCTGTTACTTTGTTCATGGTGTATATTGGCAGTAACAGAGAAGCAAATTGAAATAATCAGAAATTGTTTGAATCCAAAGCCAGAAGTCATTCACTTTTTTTGTTTATTTTTGCTTTTTGAGACAGGGTTTCGCTGTAGCCTTGGAGCTTGTCCTGGAACTAGCTCTTGTAGACCAGGCTGGCCTGGAACTCATAGAGATTCGCCTGCCTCTGCCTCTCAAGTGCTGGTATTAAAGGTGTGCACCACCATCGCCTGGTAAGCCATTATATTTCTATTAGAGAACACTGTGGAGCAAAAGACCTGCAGTTCCTAACATCTGAGCCTGGGTGTGTCAGTCAGGGCTCCTTGGTATTGTGTGGTATGATACCATACATGACCGCACTCACAGTGCACAGGTGCATGTTGTATGCTCCGAACCAAGGCTGCAGTGACATGTGTTGGAGCAGAGGAGAGCGTTGCCAAAAACACCCTGGACTCACAAATGCTGCTGATTTTTAATTAATTTCTGATTATTGTTTATACTGTTGCCACCCTCACATTTAGCTACGCCTACCCCCAGTTTAAGGAGTTGTGTTCTCAGCTAGTCTGGGCTACAAACTCAGAGAAGCAAACAAGTAGAACTCGAGTCTAGTGTGCTGATGTGCAGACCTTGTATCTGCTGAGTTGGGAGGGGTTAGAAATGAATTTTTCTCTGCTCATGTATGCAGAAGAAACACTAATAAGAGTCCAGGAAGGTCATAAAGCACTCCGTACTGTGCCACCCTGTGCTTTTGAAGACAGTGGAGAATGGGGTGAACTGAGGCTACTGTGCCACCTCTGGACTCTGGTGGTCTTGGTTTCTCAAAAGATCTGTGCAAAGTTCTAACTTAGAAGAAATAGGTTTACAGCCTGGTGAATCTTTGCTTTTTCTGTTGTTAGTGTTTTTCGAGACAGGGTTTCACTGTGTAGCTGTGGCTGTCCTGGAACTCGATTTGTAGACCAAGCTGTTCTTGAATTCACAGAGATCTGCCTGCCTCTGCCTCCCAAGTGCTGGAATTAGAAGTGTATGCCACCACTGCCCAGCAAATCTTTGTAATGCGCCCACCACCCAGTCAAGCTGTAGAACATTTCAGCTTTTCAGGAGGGTCCCTCAGACTGGAGAGAGTTGATGTTCACCGACTCTCTGGACTGCTATACCATACATGGATTTTATTTGCATGTTCTTCAATTTCATGTTTTTGTAGCCTCCTTCCCTTGACGATGTTATTCGTAGGTCAGATCTCTCATGTTGTCACTTGTGGCTTATCTTTTTCTTTGTTGTGCAGTAGTCTGCAGAAGTGTGCACAGGTTTATTCATTCTGATATTTGGGTACATTCTAGTTGATTTTTTGTTTTCTTTTGTTTGTTTTCTGAGACAGGGTTTTTCTGTGTAGCCCTGGCTGTCCTGAAACTGGCTCTGTAGACCAGGCTGGCCACAAACTCAGTGATCCACTTACCTTTACCTCCTGAGTGCTGGGATTAAAGGTGTGCACCACCACCGCCTGACTGCTAGTGGCATTTTTATGTTTTGGCTACCATAAACAATACTGTTAGGAACATTTCATGTGTCTGTCATGGCAGTTTTACTGTGCTGGGAATGGAACCAACAACTAGGGGCACAAAGACTTGATGTCCATAATCTCTGTGGGCCTTCGGTGAACTACCACATGGGAGACTTGATCTTTTGTCTTGCTCCCAGTGTCACTCCAGGTGTCTCCCTGTTATGTCCCCTCCTCATTTCTCTGGCTGGTCAGAACTGGGAAGCAGGCCAGGCTAGCAGCCTGGACCGCAGGCAGATGCTGCCTCTGGGTGCCTGCTCCTCAGATACTGCCTAATCTACTGCCACCACTGTATGTCTCTTATATTATCAGGAAGCAGAGAACTTGGTGGCCTCAGTGGTCCCCACCCACCTGGCGGCTGCTGTACCTGAAGTGGCAGTTTACTTGAAGGAGGCTGTGGGGAACTCCACACGCATTGACTATGGCACAGGTATCTGCTGCTGAGGGCTTTGAGTGACTGGGGGCCTTGCTGCTTTCTGTATGTTGCCTGGGCTGCTTTCTTTGTGTCCATGTGTCCTTGTCTGTCCAGGAGGTGGGGGTGGGCGGGCGCTGTGCTCAATTTTATTCCACCAGATGGCGCTGCTGCCACAGGCATGGCTCCTGCTGAGACTTGGTTTTGGTATTTCTTTGTGGAGCTGGCTTCTGATTAAGCTCTTCTTCATTCTGGTAGCAGTTTATTGAGCACTTACTCAAGGTAGCTGCCTGTCCACTCTCCCTGCCATCTCTTATCTCTTAGCCCTTTTCTTTGTGCTGCTGTTTTTTGGTTCTGTTATCCATTTCAGCCAGACTGTTGTGGGTACCTTAGAGAAGTGTTCTCTAGGTCAGGGATGACCCCTGCTGTGGTAAAGGCTCCCTTTGTTCTTTCCCCTAAAGCCAGCATGTGAGAGCTATATTGCCTCCCACTTGGTTGGGAAGGGAGTACCAGAGGGAGCCTGATTCCAGAGCAGGCCCTGGAGAACATTTCTCTGGAGCCAGAACCCAGGAGAACTTCATCCTTGATTCACCCTGTTGCTGGGAACAGTTCCGAGACCCTGGATGTGGACAGTTTTAGTTAAGACCCACATAGGAGGAGGCGGAGGCAGGTGGATCTCTGTGAGTTCGAGGCCAGCTTGGTCTACACAGTGAGTTCCAGGACAGCCAGGGCTACACAGATAATCCCTGTCTCAACCTCCCCCCGCCCCAAACAAACCCAACTAGGGGGAAAAAATTCCCCTGTTACAGGGTTTCTCTGTATAGCCTTGGCTGTCCTGCACCTCACTCTATAGACCAGGCTAGGCTCAAATTCAAAGATCCACCTGACTCCGCCTCCCAAGTACTGGGACTAAAGGCATGTGCCACCAGTGCTTGGCAAGGAAAAGATTTCTAGGGCAGTGGGTTCATTTGGAAATTTTTGGTGAAAGTAACTGAGCATATGTGCTCCTAGATTCTGGCAGACTCTATAGAAATAGCCTGAAACAGCTGGCTTCCCCTCTTTCCAGATTCTTACCACATAAGGAATGGGGCCAAGATCTAACGAGTGCCAGTGCCTTTTTTTTTTTTAAAGATTTATTTATTTATTATGTATACAGTGTTCTTTCTGCTTGTGTGTCTACAGACCAGAAGAGGGCACCAGATCTCATTACAGATGGTTGTGAGCCACCATGTGGTTGCTGGGAATTGAACTCAGGACCTCTGGAAGAATAGTCAGTGCTCTTAACCTCTGAGCCATCTCTCCAGCCCTAGTCAGTGCCTTTTACAGAACTGGCAGTTGCTGGTGGGTGTGACAGGGAGAGAAAAGAGGGTACCTTAGCCTTGTAATCTGTCCACATGTTCCCAGGTGCTTGTGGGACCCCGCCCAAGCTTCTTACCATGGCTATTCTGGTGAGAGGCTTTCCCTGTCCTCTGCTGAAGACACACTGCTTACTTGCCTTGGGCCTTTGCATGTGCTGTTGCTCCTGCCTGTTTCCTATGGTGCTTTTTCCCCGGCTATTTATTACCCATTCCTCTTTTATTTCAAACATTTCCTTAGGGGAAAACCTTGAACTCTGAAATCAGGGTTCCCCTGGGATGTGCCTCAGGTACCCACCTGATTCCTGCATAGCTAGACTCACAATAGTAACTGTATATTTAATGTCTGTGGTTTCTGACAGACCATGATCTCTTTGAGGCAAGGACTCCTTTGTCACTGTCACCCAGCATGGACAGTGACTGTCCATATAGTAGGTGCTCAATAAGCGTGGGTTGCTAAGGTGTCAAACCTATAAAGTAAGATGCAAGTGCCTGTGCAGGATTGACACTGAGGCCCATCAGGACACGTGCCAGTGCTTGTGGCTGTTAAAAGGCCCAGGGCTTCGGGACAGGGAGGCGGCCTCCACCTCAGTATAGGCCTTCCTCCTCAACTGAGCTGGATGATGGGGACTTCCACTGCAAGATGTCAGCTTGAGCTGTGTTTCTTCCCCAGGGCATGAGGCTGCCTTTGCTGCTTTCCTCTGTTGTCTCTGCAAGATCGGGGTGCTCCGGGTGGACGACCAAGTGGCTATTGTCTTCAAGGTGTTTGATAGGTGAGAGTCGACTTTGCAGGAAGAGATAGTGTTCCCCATACCTGGTGCTCACCATGCGGAAGCACAGTTCTGAGGCAGCTCCCTGTGATGTAGCAGCTGCCTCCCTCTCATAGAAGAGGAATCAGACAGGTCTCTGCTGAGGTCACAGTCCAGCAAAGGTAGGAGGCAGATTCTTCTGGGCAGCACAAGTGTGCAGTGTAGTTGGAATTTTCTCTAGGCCACCAGCCAGCTCCCAAATACAGACGCAGAGGTTTAGCTTACTATGAGTGCTCGTCCTTAACCTAGACTTTTCCCACTAGCTCTTTTAACTTAATTTAACCTATTTCTAGTCGTCTGTGTTTTACTTTGGGGCTTTTTGTCTTTCATTCTGTATGTCCTACTTTCTGCTTCTTCCATGTCTTGCTGGCCTCTGGCATCTTCTTTTCTTTCTTCTTGAACCTAAATTTCTCCTCCCACTTAACTCTCCCTGCCCCAAAGTCCCATCTTTATCTCCTTCCTCACTGTTGGCCATTCAGCTTTTTATTAGACCAACCAGGTACCTTAGACAGGCAAAGTAAAACAGCAACACTTCTTTACATTGTTAAACAAATACTGCACAGCACAAACAATGCAGTACATCTTTTCATAGTTAAACAAATATTCCCCAACAGTGTGGAGACCTGCTCTGAGCTGCACGGTCCCGGGGCTGATGTGCGGGTGTTGAGGTGAAGTATAGCTGTGCAAGTTACCCAGAAACACAGCTTCTGATGTCTGACTTCTTGGATTTCACTTACTTTCCAGTGGTGCCTGAGGTTAGAGAAAAGGACTTCTGCTTATGGTCTTGCAAGTTTCCAGGGTTGATGACACTAAGCCTGGTTTGTGGGTCTTTTGTCTTTCCCTGACAGAAGATGTATGAGGGGAAAGAAAAAGCCTCACCATTGTCCCTACCCTTCCTGTGCTGAAGTGTACCATGTCTTACCTGTCTCTCTTTTTCTCCCTGTTCCCCCCACCCTGGCACAGGTACCTTGAGGTTATGCGGAAGTTGCAGAAGACGTACAGAATGGAACCTGCAGGCAGCCAGGGTGTGTGGGGTCTGGATGACTTCCAGTTCCTGCCCTTCATCTGGGGCAGCTCACAGCTCATAGGTACTAGTGGATGGTCATGTCTTTCTACCTTGAACCCCCAACTCCTTCCTTTTTCCTTCCTTCTGCCCAGGACACACAATGACAGCTTGTAGAGCAGGACATTAGACCTGCTATTGATGGAGGCTGATTGCTGTTGACTTAGTGCTCTTAACCAGTGTGATTAACTGGAGGATATGAAGGTGGAGTGCCACCAAAGTAATGGATAGTGACATGGACTGAAGCAGGGCATGTGCCTGGTGCATAATGGACTGTTGTGAATGCATGCATCCCCTGCAACAGCTGTGGGGTTTAAGTTGAAAATTAGGGCCTCTTTTGATTTAGCAATCATCCATCTCATCCACTGTTGTTATGGAACTCTATGCAGTGGGCATATGGGAAGTTGCTTCCAAATGCTGTTTCCTGTGTGCTTCCCAGGTCTGCTCTGCCATGCTCCTCACTTTGAAATGATTATCCAGGCATGTCAGCATCTTGGGATTCACCATTGGGTGGACTTAGTGATCATCTTTAGTTTTATGGAGAATGAGTTGCCACTAACCAATACTCACAAATGCCTAATACCTGAGAACTTGCCATTTTAGATACCTCTATCATGGTCTTCTCAGGGATGCCTGGAAGATTTAAGGACAGGCTCCATACGTAGTGTGGCCTCAGCACCTGGCAGGGTAGAGGGGCATGCTATTCTAGTCTTGTTATATAGATGCAGGGCCTAGAAGGCTGGAGTCATCCATCTAGGGTCTCGCTGCCATGTGCTGAGTTGAGTTTGATTGCTAGGACACATTCCTGCATCACCTGGTATAGCATGAGTACTGTAGTGTGTGCTTCTTACACCATGGTGTCTTCTTGACACAGTGAGTGTGTACTGTTAACTCCACTGTGGACACTTTTTTTTTTTTTCTGACTAACCAAGAACTCACCTGTCTCTGAGTGCTGGGACTAAAGGTATACAATACCATATCCAGCTGAGGTAACTTTTAAGGGAGATGTGCACGCTAATGATGCTTAAAAAGCAGAGGCCGGTACTGACAAACTAGGAACAGAATTGTTGTTGGTTAAGTGGGTACACAGCACTCAACTCAACTGTGTCTATCACCTCTGCTGATTGGTAGCACAGTAGGTTTGTGTGCACCAGTGTCACCACAGGTACGTGCATGGTGCCTGGCTGTGTGCAGTGGGCACCTCACTAGGTGTCAGGGATTTCTGAGTCCCATTAAGACCATTAAGATCTTTTGTTTGTTTTTTGAGACAGGGTTTCTCTGTAGCTTTGGACCTGTCCTTGAACTAGTTCTTGTGGACCGGGATGGCCTTGAATTCACAGAGATCCACCTGCCTCTGCCTCCAGAGTACGGGGATTAAAAGCCCCGTGCCACCACTGGGCTCACATTAAGATCTTTATGTACTAGACAAGCACTCCAGCACAGCTCTGCCCCAGCACACCATCACAGTGGCTGGAGATCTGTGGTGGGCACCTAGTGCTCAGGCTCAATCAGAGGCCTCTGCTCTCCCCAGACCACCCCCACCTGGAGCCCAGACATTTTGTGGATGAGAAGGCGGTGAGTGAGAACCACAAGGACTACATGTTCCTCCAGTGCATCCTGTTCATCACTGAGGTGAGAGCCACAGCAGCCTCTATTAGCCTGCTTCGGTTACCAGGGCCTGCTTGCCCAGCTGCCAGCCTTCTCCCAGATCCGGGAGGACTCTTTCATTGTTTGGTTTGAGTTAGAGCTGCACTCTGCTGCCAAAGCTGGTTTTAAAATTCACAACAATCTTCCTGCCTCAACCTACTGACTGCTGAGGATTACAAAATAAATAGCACACTCAGTTCCCACAGGGCTCTTGAGCTAATGGATTAAAGTTGTAGGTATTAGCTAGACTTGGTGACCTGCAGCAGGCCTGAAAAGATGGCAGGCATCGTCCATCAGTCCACCAACGAGTCTGTAGAACCATGTGCTGTGGACTCACGCTGGAATCCCTAGAGGAGCTGGAGTGATGGGAGTAGTTAGCTGTGTTTGTCTGTGCTTCAGCAGTGTGCTGGGGGTGACAGCAGGCAGCCTGTGGTGGCAGTCCCTGGGCCCCATACCACCTGGCAGATTCCGTGACTGGAAGGAAGCCCTTATCTCACTAAGGCAGAATTCCCTATGGTGTGGTGCTGGAACATTCCCCAAGGTGGCACCGGGACTTTGAACGTTCACGGCCTTGGGTCCATGCCAGCTTTCTGGCTCATCAAGGGACCCACAGTGTCAGGGCCTTGCTTCTTGGAGTTGTTGGAACTGTTCATTCTTCCACCTATACCTGTAAACTCTCATCCTAAATTTACAAAGTCCTGTCTTCCTTCTCTTCCTGTGGCCACCTGTTGTCTGCTCTGTGGAAGTACACACAACTCCTGCCCATGGATGCTACTCTTGGCTTCCTGGTCCTAGCTTCTGAGTAGGGAAGAGCCTGATTAGCAGTCTCGACTCTTCAAGTTTCTTCTGGTCAGCATTCGCCTCAGACTTCTGCCAAGCTCCAGGGGCCAGAGGGGAATGACACATTTTTCCCAAGTCAGCAAATGGAGCCAGGAGTGATGGCTGAATGGCCATTACTTGGTTCTTGGAGATGTGCTGCCTTCAGCAGAGTGGCAGGCTCAAGGTCAGGAGGACTTGGGGGCAGCCTAGCTCACTGCCTTGAAAACCAGCTTTGCAGGACTCCTTAAGAGTGGAGTGTAGGGCTGAGGAGCTCTAGGATGAGGTAGAAGAACTAGATGGGGAAAAACCACACATTCTGCAGAGCTTGCTGCGTGTGTCCAAAAGCCTAAACTGTTCTGCTTCCCTTGGCGGCCTGCCAAGCCCCTTGCGTCCTTGTCAATAATTCTAACAAGGAGACTAGCCAGGATGGGCTTTGGGGACTGGGAATCGATCCCATGCTAAGACTTAGTGTGTTTGTTTGTTTCTGCTGGTATAAAACCTTAAAAGCTTTCCCAAAGTTTGGGACAGAGGACGCTGTAGAAGGTAGCCCAAAGTAACCACGAGGTGGCGCTAAAAGTGCATTGAACTTGGGTGGCTTCAGGAACAGAGGTAGAAAGCGGGAGGGGAAGCTCTTTGGCTGTTGTGCACCTTCTCTGCAAGGCTTGGTTTTCTCTTGGTTCGAGGCTCTTGGGTCAGGCTCTGGTTGGTTGCTAGGCACCGTGGTAGTCGAGGGCCCTTTTGCCTTTGCTAGGTTGTCCGATTGCTGTTGCAGCACCCTGCTCTTCACAGATATTCCCCCACCTGCCCCATGCACTTGAGAGGAGTGCACAGCATGATCAGTGAGGGAGTGAGTGGCTTAGTTGGGACCACCAGACCCTGGACTACAGCATCCTGGAAGTCTAGGTGTCCAGGGCTCTGTTGCCTCTGGAGATCTGAAATCTCTACTGGTCAAATAAACATAAGGAAGTTGGGAAGTAAACCATTTCTCTTTGCTGGGTCTTGTAGCAGGACTGCTTTGATAGCTCTGGGCATGGCAGCGGAGGAAGCCCACCTTGCAGGGCTCATACTGCTTCAGGAAATGAAGCCCTGGCGCCTTTAAGAGTCCAGGGCAGGCAGGAAAAGAATTTCAGTTTCAATCTGGCTTCTAAATTTGGAGTTTTGGGAAGGGAGGGATCAGATTTCAGCTGGAAGGGAAGGAGCTGACAGGAAGGCGCTGTGCTGAGCCTCCCCCACCCCCCCCATCCCCCTCAGTTACTGACAGAGGAACCATTTACAAAAGGCCGATTCTCTGGGGAGTGGAGAGGCAGGAACGCAGCGTCTGTGAGTAATTTCCTGCTCAATATGGCTGCTCTGACTCACACGATTCCCCGGGGGTCACTGCGGGACTGCAGTTGCTTGCTTGTTCTCGCTCTTTCTCTTCTCCCTTTGTGGCTAGAATGAGCTAATTTTTTTTTTCTCACCCCCGACTCCTTTTTTCCCCTCGTCCGTTTTTTTCTTTCTCTGAGTTGCAGAGCCTCCTTCTGAAGGACTTGTGAGACCTGAGGCACTCACTGAATGTCTGGGGGTGGGGTGCCTCTCTAGAGATGTGCTAGGCCTCACAACTCTTGCAGCCTGGTAGATATCCTTTTCTGAATGTCCCTTGCTGGTGAGCGAGGCTGGTCCCCCAGGCAGGTCTCAGTATCCCTCTGTCTGTCTTGCCCCAGAACCCTGGCCGAGCAGGCCCTTGAGCACCTGCTGTGAGACTTGGCCCTTGGCTCCCTGGTCCACAGCTCCCCCAGTCTGATGTCTCTGACTTGCAGGTGTGCAAGATGAGGGTGGAGGACTGGAGAGACCGAAGTGGGAGTCTTTGCTGGAGAGTTGGGGTAAATCTCAGGAAGCTCAGGGTCCTGTAAACATTGGTGCTTCTTGTTCCTGGTCAAGGAGACTCCACAAATGCCTGGCAGAGAGCAGGGCTGGCTGGTGACCTCACCACTGGGGAAGGGCCATTGAGACAGGCTCTCACTGGGGACTTTTGCCAGGGGAGGGAGAAATGGGGAAAATGGCAGTGTTTCTAATTTAAATCTAGAAGTTGCCCTTACTGAGGTAGAGACCTGTGGGAGTGGACCGGCATTAAAGTAGCCGGTAATGTCCCATTACAAAGAATGTTTGGGTTTATCCTTTCTGCTTGGACTACCCTATACCTCACCCCCTTTCCATGTTGAGCCTCTTCTGGAACCTTCCACTCACTATAAGTCCAGGTCTCTGCTTCTTGCCAAACTTAGTCTCTTCACTTTTTAGAGTCTTTCTCTGTTGCCTGGGGCTGGATGCTGAGCCCTGTTCGCAACATAAATGCTGCCTATAAATGGGGGGAAGGCAGTGAGGAGGGTGTGCTGGGCTAGATGGTTAATAAACACAAGTGTACTGGACTTGCACTCTCAGTGGCAGACTCCACTCAGGACCCAGGCTTCCCTTTCCTGGTGCTGCGGATCTGATGTCACAGGAACTGCTCTGAATTGGCTGCAGTGCTTCTCTGCCTTCCTGAGGTCAGGTTCTTGAACAAGAAGGACCACAGTGATGGACTCCATGTTCCTGCTGACCTTGTCGTTCTGCTTCTGTCTGCCCTGCTATGGAGCTCTAGCCTCCTCCCTGTCTGCTATGTAGAGCCTCTTAACAGGGCCCTCCCACAGCCCCTTTCCCACCCTCTGAGATCCGCCTGGCAGGTACAGATCAGGCATTGTACAGTGTGGGGAAGGGAGCCTGGCCGCACATCTTACTCTCCCAGGGTGGAGATTTTGTCTTCCTAGGGTTGCTAAACTTGATAGGTATTGGGAATGGAGCCTCAGTTTTACAGTCTGAGGGAAAGAAAGGTAAGTGGAGGATGTGGGCGAGAGAGGTTCCATTTTTTTTTAACAGTTACAGGCCAAGCCCCCTTCCCTTATCAGTATACCTGTCTCCCTCCCCCCCATCTCATGTGTGACCTTGCTGCAGGAGAGCAGGGGCAGACCCCCAGGCGGCCTCTGCTTTCTGCTTCTCTAGTCCTGGACTTTCTTTTCCAGATGAAGACCGGCCCCTTTGCAGAACACTCCAACCAGCTGTGGAACATCAGTGCTGTCCCCTCATGGTCCAAAGTGAACCAGGGCCTCATCCGCATGTATAAAGCGGAGGTGAGTGGGGTCTGGCCAGCATGCCTGCCCCCTGCTGTCCCTTAGTCCTGGGTGAGTTCAGGACTGCTAGTTCTCTCTGAAACTTGGGGACCTCAGAACCTGATGACCGGTCACAAGGCACTGAGCAGAGACCTGCCTCAGCCTTGCATAGCGTAGGGATTGAAATGACCCTTGCTGCTAGGGAAGTTGGACTCTCTTTCTACCTGTCATATGGCCTGAAGCCCCTCAAAGCTCTGGTAACCTGAGTATCTCTCCCAAAGTGACTTAGGATGGGTGTGATCCTAGAGCCACCCAAAGCAAACTGTCCTGTAGGAGGTGACTAGGAAGAGGTAGGGTTGGGTAGTCATTGGCATTCTTTAGTGGGAAGGATATAGGTGTTAACCCCTACTCTCCACTCAACAAATCTGCTGCTGGGACACTTTCCCTGCTGAAAGGTACCTGCCCTTCCTAGTGCCTCCCACACTCTCCTTCACAGAAAGGCAGAGAGGACACCTTCTACCTGTCTCTACTGGCTCCTCCTATAGCTCAAGCATTCTAATCATTGGAAATACTTGTCTTGTGCAACCCCTTCTCCCCCTCCCACTCTCTAACAGCCTCGGGTATTGTCCTGCAGCTGCCCATCTCTGATTCTTGACATCATCCCTTCTCTTCTATAAATTCAGCTAATTGAACTCAGAGCTCACCCCATCCATCAGAGACAGGACAATGGGAAAGGGTCTAGAGGCTAGCCAGATTTGGTAGTGTAAATGTTTCCCACTGGCCTGACACCCTTGAATTGGTCCCGAAGGGGTTAATAGAACATGGTCTGAGTTGGGCAGTGGTAGTGCACACCTTTAATCCCAGCACTGGGGAGGCAGAGGCAGAGGCAGGCAGATCTCTGTGAGTTTGAGGCCAGCCTGGTCTACAAGAGCTAGTTCCAGGACAGGCTCCTGAAAGCTACAGAGAAACCCTGTCTCTAAAAAACAAACAACAACAACAGAGTGTTAGAACCTGGTTAGAACATGGTCTGACCAAGTCTTGGCCTGGGCAGCTTTCTTCTCTTCCTCCCTTCTTGGCCCTCTTTCTTTAGATGTCACATTCTGTGTTTAGGCTTCAGCCAACGTGCCTCTCATCTGGGAGATCATTCCTGGATGCCCAGACTTCTTCCCGCTCAGCATGCCAGCTCCAGCACTGGGCACTACCTTTTGTCCTGTCTCCACAACCTTACTTCTCTGATTCCCAGTAGGAAATACAGAAAAGACCGCCCTGGCCACTCCACTGCTGGGGAAATGTCAGCATGGTGGGTGTGTATAGCTTCTCTCATATCAAAGACAGAACTCCAGCTGCCTCCTAGCTTAGAATCCCAAATGCTGGCTTTGTGTGTCTTCAGACCTATGTATATTCAGCTCCCAAGGGGAGGGCCAGCAACCAGGCAGATCTGCAAGCTGAGGGAGGAGCAGATAGAAAAATGGCAGGACCACAGGCCTTGGTGACCTTGACCCGAGCTTCAAGTCCTAAGGGACTGCTAGGTGTCTGTAGTTGTTAAAGAAAGGTCAGTGGGACTGAAGACTGGACGTTTCACCTGGTGTATGTGGCAAGTGGGAGCTGGCTCCTGCCCTGGCTCAGGCCCCTATGCCAAGACTGGATTTGTAGTGCAATTCACAGCTTGCTGACAGCAATGAGGACCTCAAGGCTTTGTAGGACCCACTTCTTTTTGGTCATTTGTTTTTTTGGGGGGAGGGGGAAGCAGGGATCAAGACAGGGTTTCTCTGTGTAGCCCTGGATGTCCTGGGGCACGCTCTTTAGACCAGGCTGTCCTCAAACTCAGATTCTCCTACTTCTGCCTCCCAGTTCTGGGATTAAAGGTGTACGCCACCACTGCCCCAGAGTACCCAGTTCTTTGTGTGTGTGTGTGTGTGTGTGTGTGTGTGTGTGTTTTGGTTTTCTGAGACAGGGTTTCTCTGTGTAACAGTTCTGATTGTCCTAGAACTCACTGAGATTCTCCTGCCTCTGCCTCCCCAGTGCTAGGTTAAAGGTGTGCACCACCAGTTCTTATTGGTGCTTTTATCTCTGGTCCCTGAGAATGGGGGCTGTAAGCCCCTGCCCAGAAGGCCCAGGAAAGGACCTACTTTTCAGAGGCTCACTAGACTTGAAGTACAAGGCTGTGGCGCCCTGAGCTGCCAACAGAGGTCTTCTCAGACCTGGCATTAGACAGTTGGTTGCCTGAAGTGGTTATTTTCTTTTTTTTTTTTCTTTTAAGAGAGATATTGGGCTTTCTGGGCCTTGTGTGGTGGTGGTCTTTCTGTCCTGAAGGCTGCCACTGTACCTGGAGTCCTATCTCATCTTGAATCATAGACCACCCAGCCTGGACTCCTGGGGTCAGGAGGTGGTAGACTTCAGCAGCCCAGGCACAGTAGTTGGCCAGTATTGCTGGAAGAAAGGCCTTCTTTAGATGCTTCTCCTGCTCTGGGTTCTTGTACTTCCTCTAGCCTTGCAGCTTCTTTGTAGCTCAGGTTCTGCAGTCCTCTGGACAGAATGGGACTATTTCTGCCCTTCCCCCACTTGCCTTTCTGGCTTCTCTTCTTTGAGAGCTTGAGGCAGGTTGACCTTTGACCCTTTCTGGAATTCCAGGCCCCGAAGGGGAGGGTGACTTCTAAACTCCCACCACTTCCTGATGACTTAAGCACCATGGCAGCTGCCTTGCCTCAGGCCTGGACATGTTGCTCCTCCCCCAGGGACAGGCTGCACTTCCCTTCTCCCCACTGTCTTGGCTCAGGCCTGACTCCATATTGGAGTTCAGTTTCTGTCCTACTTGTCCTATATGCACTCCTTTCAGTTCTGAGGCTGCTTTCTGGGGTAAGGGAAGGTGAGCCAATCAGGCAGGTTACTCCTTTGACCCCAGACAGAGGCCCTTACCTCCTTTGAGTCTTTAAGTCTTATTCTCCAACAACCTAGAGGTCCCTAGTGCACTGTGGGTTGTTTCTGAGGCCAAAGTGTAGATCTGCCAGTCTGGTAAATATAGCTGGGGCTAACTGTGACAGCCTGTGGCAGACTAGGGATATAGAGGTATGAGCCTGGGGTCAGGCTACCTGTGGGTCTTCACTTCTTACCACGAGTCTGAACTGGGCTCAGGCAGTCCCCATCCCTTTGCCTACCATCAGTGCCTTTGCCCTGACCTCCACAGGGGCTGCTGCCAAGGTGGAGCAGAGGTATCAGATCTCATTCTAAGAGTGAAGATGTCTTTTCAAGCCAGACGCCCAAAGACTACAGAAAAGACTCTAATCTCCTCAGCTGTGCTCAGATGACCCCACACCTCTAAGGCCCAGGACTGGAATGGGGTTTGTGGGAGGCTCTTTTCTATTTCTTATGGCCAGCTTCCCCTCTGGGTCAAGTAATGTTTCTCAGATGCCTGTCTTGACTTCTACTGTGTGTATCTTTGGAGGGGAAGAATAAGGACAGGATGAAGAAGTGTCATCCTTCTGTGTATAGGCCAGGGCTGCTCTGACGGGGTGGCTTCTTGAGCGTTAGTGGATACCCCATAGAAGTGGCTTTAGTTTGTCTGGGTCCCTGGGGATGCAAGAGACCAGCCAGGCCTCACCTCCTGGTCTCCCCCTCCTTTCTCAGTGCCTGGAGAAGTTCCCTGTGATCCAACACTTCAAGTTCGGGAGCCTGCTGCCCATCCATCCTGTCACATCAGGCTAGGAGAGGCTGAGTCACCAGAGCCACCCTGGCCAGTTCTCCTGTGCCCTCTGACCCGGCACCCCTCCCACCCACCTTCTGTTCATTCTGTTTGATGAGAGGCTGTTTACTGAGATGGGTGCTGAACAGGGCCTGAGTTGGAGGAATTGACCAAAGTGTGGCCAGTCTTTGACTGTTTATCTGGTGGGCAAGCAAGAAGAGAGGGGCTGGGACCTGGTCCCAGGGCCCCTGCCCACCCCTGTCCTTCCTGCTTCCTTTCTCTCTGCCCAGTCCAGTGTGGAGACAAGGGCACCCTGCTCTTCCCATTGCTTTCCCTTCCCATGATGAGACTCCTCATTGAGAGAGGGGACACTGCGCCTTCAGGGGCTGGCTGGTCAGCTTCCTGAGCTGTGTTCCGTTGGGTATCTGCTGTGGGGCTGAAGGGTGAGGCTGTCAGCAACTGTGGGGAGGCTTGGGGTGGGGGAGATGGTGGGTAGAGGGGCTATGAATGATGAGGATGGCTTTCTCAAGGTAACCTTCTAGGCCCTGAGTTTACCTGTGCCCATCCTCATTCTGGCTTTTGTTCCCTGGCCCTTGGATTTGCCAGGTGTCATGACTATTAGTAACGTCCCCCTTCCTGGGGGTAGCTTAGTTGTGGAAGCTGCTCCAGGCTCCTGGGAAAGCCTGTTGATTGGGTGAGGCCTCTTTCCAGAACTGTCTCTGTCAGGGAGAGAATGGTAGAGACTCAGGGAGACTAGGGCTGCTGTGTTTGTGAGAATCTGGCCTCCTCTAGTCACTCTTAGACCTGACCAGTTCTGCTACCTCCTTCCTGCTTTGAGTGATCTTGAGCTTCACCTGAGGCCCTTGCTTGCTGCTCTGCTTGCTTGGGTAGGTCTGTGGCTGGCGTGAGATGGCAGGGGAGGCAGCAGCCCTCTCTTTCTCCCTTTCCCCTTATGAGAAGAGGCGAGCAGTGCCCTGGAAATGGACTGCAGAAGCGCTGTGACTGAACTGGTACCTGTAGGCTTCCCTGCCATACTCACCCTGTTCTGCACTGCCCATCCTGTGTCTGTGTCCATAGACCCCTTGGGGAGTGGATACTGAGGAGCGCAACCCAGGGGCTTGGCCAGGGTTTAGTGGTGATCTGAACAGAGCTGGGACTCAAGTCATCAGTGTCACAGGCAGTGTCCCAGGAAAGTTCCAGGGCCAGCCTCCCTTCCAGGGCCAGGCCACCGCCTTCCTGGCTCTCTCCCCTAGTCCTGCGCCTCCCTTGCTGTTTGGATTAAAGCCTCTGTTTTACACCTGTCCCCCGTGTGAGACATCTTTTCCTGACATGTCTGAGTGACTTTTCCCTAGCAGGTCTCCTCCCCATCGGCTGACTTTCTGAGAATGGAATGTGTGACAGAGATTCAAGCAGACAGGAGGGTTCAAATCCCAGCTATCCCTCTGCTCGCTCCCAATGACAGGTTGTAGGTAGGTTTCTGAGCTGCTCTAAGCCCCAACCCCTTCATCTAGAAGATGGGTGCAGTCACACGTGGCTCTGGTGAGCCCGAGATGCGACCTGGCACATAACACATGCTGTGCTGTCATTGTAGCAGCGTGCGCGCCTCCTGCAGCTGCTCTGGACTCCTGTCAGCCCTACCCGTAGTTCTTAGTTAGCCCTCTTTCTCCTGAGCTCACCCTTCTGATCCATTGGTGCTAAGGCTGAGTATGGCTGTACAGTGGACTCCTTAGCCACCATGCTCTCCTGAAATTGCCTGTCCTGAGAATAAGCCTTTCTGCTGGCCCTGGAGGCTTTGCACAGAGGCAGGAAGAGGAGCCTCAGCCCAGTGCCTTTGCTCTTCCTCTGGACACCCTTGGTTGCCCAAAGCCTTGTTGTGGAGCCCAGCACACTGGAGTTCAAACTGAAGGCCAACTGTTTACAATGGAGGAAATCCATGATGCTTGACTTCGCCTCTCGGAACTTCAGTTTCTTGGTCCAAAAAACAGGTATAATAATGCATTGTGGTCTAGAGCAGTGGTGCTCAGCCTTCCTAATGATGTCGGCCTTTAATAGAGTTCATGTTGTGGTGACCCTATCCATAAAATTACAACTAATTTTGCTACTGTTATGAATTATAATACCTGTGTTTTCTGATGGTCTTAAGTGACCCCTGTGAAAGGGTCATTCAGCCCCAAAGGTGTTGCGACCCACAGGTTAAGAACCACTGGTCTAATAGCTTATTTGTTTCCCAGGCAATGGCTGTGTATTTGTGACCACAGCATACCAGAAAAGAACAGCATTAGTTAGTAGATTGTAATTAAGAAATTAATAGGGGATGATGATGCTTTTTGTTACACACAAGCATGTCCAGCTGTGCATTGGGTTGGGGTTTCTATTGTGAGAAGGCACCATGACCACGACAGCTCTTAGAAAGGAAAACATTTATTGGGGCTGGCTAACAGTTCAGGGGTTTAGTTTATTATCATTGTGGCCGGAAGCATGATGGTGTCAGGCAGACATGGTGCTGGAGAAGGAGCCGAGAGTTCTACAGCTGGATTGGCAGACAACAGGAAGAGAAGAGACACTGGGCCTGACTAGCTTCTGAAATCTCAGAGTCCATCCACAGTGACACACTTTCTGCAAGAAGGCCATATTGCTTCAACAAGGCTACACCTCCTAATAGTGCCACTGCCTATGGGCCTATGGGAGCCATTTTCATGCAAACGGCCACATTGTGACATATGTTATCTACTGGAAAGCTGTGCAGTCACATTTAAAAAACATGTCTTGGGCTGGAGCAATCTTCTCTCAATCTGTGGGCACCTGTACTTGGGCACATAGCCACACGGATGCACACATATACATGTAATTAAAAATAAGGGCTGGGAGCTGGAGAGGTGGATCCATGGTTGAGAACACTGACTGCTCTTCTAGAGGAGCCAGGTTCAATTCCCAGTACCCACATGGCTGCTCACAACTGTCTGTAACTGCAGGTCCAGGGGATTCAACACTGTCATACAAACATACATGCAGGCAAAATGTTAATGTACATTAAAAAAATAAATAAATATAAGGGCTAGGCCTGGAGAAGGCTCAGGTTAAGGACCAGAAGCTCCAGGTTTGGCTCCCAGCACCCACTTGGGGCTCACAACCATCTGTAACTCCAATTCCAGGGGCTCTGATGCCCTCTTTGGCCTCTTATGTGCATTACATACACATGGCACACAAACATACATGCAGGCAAAGTACTCATACACATAGAATAAATCTTTTCAAATAAAAGTAAGGGGCCAGAGAGATGGCTCAGTGTTTAAGATCATGCTGATCTTGCAGAGGACCCATATTCAGTCCTTGGCACCCACATGGTGGCTCTCAACTTCCTATAGCTTAAGTTCCAGAGGATCCAGTGCCCTCTCCTGGCCTCCATTGGTACTGCACATGTGTGCCTACATGCAAGCAAAGCACTTTTTTTTTTTTTTTTTTTTTTTTTTGACACAGGTTTCTACATAGGCCCGGCCGGCCTCCAACTCACTACATAGCCCAGGGTGTCTTCAAATTCACTGAGATTTGCTGTCCCTGAGTGCTGGGGTTAAAGCTGTGCACTGTCATGCCAGCTAATAAAAGCAGGTCTTAAAAATAAAATCTTTTGGTGTTGGGGATTTAGCTCGGTGGTAGAACGCTTGCAATAATAATAATAATACAAATTTTTTAGCTGGGTGGTGGTAGTGCACACCTTTAATCACAGCACTCAGGAGGTAGAAGCAGCCAGAGCTCTGAGTTCCAGGACAGCCTGGTCTACAGTTCCAAAACATCCAAGATTGCACAGAGGAAAAAGCTGAACAAAACAAAACCCTGTATTGACTAACAAAAACAAAAGAAAAATTAAAAAAATAAAATCTTGCATTAGAAAAAACATTTTTCCCCCTTTCTTTGAGACAGGTCTCATGTATCCCAAGCCGCCTCAGATCTGATGATAGGCTGAGGAAAACTTGATGAACTGTTTATTGATCCTCCTGTGTCTGCCTCTCAGTGCTGGCGTTAGAGACGTGCACCACCATACCCAGTTTGGGAAGTGCAGCAAATTAAACCTAGGGTTTTGTGCATGCTAGGCAAGCTTTCTACCAACTGAGCCACCACATCGCCAGTCAAAAACCTCATCCTTTTATGTTTATAGTTGAATATGCCTTGAAGGAAATGGCTGTGAATCTCTTGGGGAAGTGGTGTAACCCTAGAGTTGCTGCAGACTCCAGGAACCCCAGCAGGGGATATGGGTGGCATTCTAGAAAGGTGAGGAATTTGGGGTTTGGTTTTAGTTTGGAGCCTGAGAATCCTGGAGTGAGCTAAGTGGGTAGACAGCTTACTTGGGAGACTGCAACTATGTTTGGCACAAGGATAGGGACTGGTGAGATGTGGTCCAATCAGGTGTGGGAAGATGTCACTCAGAGGAAGGAAGATGGCGGTGGCGGGGGCAAGTGTGCAGAAAGACTCACAGTTCTTGGCCAGCGTAGCTTGACTGCTGCTGCTGGGCAGGCAAAGAGGGGAGTGCTCCAGGGTAGTGAAGACCTAAAAGAGTGGGAGGAGGTACTGTGTCCCAGTCTGGCATTGGCTGAGGTGGTCAGGGAGCAGAAGGCACAGAGATAAAATATAGCCAGCAGACCCTTGCCAAGTATGAAGAGTGCCTGAGGAGAGGAAGGGCAGGAGACTCTGGTGGTGGAGCTCTGGCCTTCACCCTTGCTTAGGACTGCTTTGCTTCCCTGCAGTGAAGGGAAGTACTGGGGGTGGGAGCATGGGGAATGGAAGCAGGGAGCTAAGAGTGATGTGCACAGGAGCTGCCTGACCCTGGACATTACCTCACAACTCTGTTTGCTAGTGTGGTTTGAGGTCTTCCCAAATCAGGTTAGCCCAGCCCCTCCAGGGGAAGGGGGAATGCACAGTGGGGCTGTGTGTATTCCATGATACTCTGAACCCCAGAGCCTGCCTGCCTATGAACAGGTGAGACTGAAGGTCATGGGAAGGTTTTGGAAGGTGGGCCCTGCTGCTTTCTGCAGGCTTAGGTGATGATAGAGAACAGAGGAGAGCTGAAAGAGTCAGCCAAGAGCAACCTTCCCTGGGCAGCCAGAGGGTACTTGTCTTGTCCTACAAGAGGGCACTTTCCAGTGCATTGTACCAGGTTTATCTGAGCAAGGAATAGTGGGGCAGGAACATTAGCTACCCTGGGGCTTAAGGGTAGTGGAGGGGTCTGTGGGGCAGTGGGAGCCTTGAGGACATGGGTAAGTGGGAGGTACATTCACGTGAGCCTTAGAGATGCGTGAGAGGCTTCACACTGCCAGTCCATGCTGTGTCCATGAAGGATGACCGCTCTGCTGACGTCTGGGTCTAGGGAAACTCGGTGGATGTGCATGTCTCTGCCCGCTATCCTGAGCCGGGTGGACCTGGAGAGCAAGCTGAACCTTGCAGCTTGTGTTTGAGGGTCTATGTGTCAGCCTGGTTGCTTCATGGAGGTAAGAGGAAAGAGCCTTTCCTAGGAGAGGGACACAAAGCTGGGGGCTCGGGGACCCCCAACATAGGTTGTGTGTTTTCTTTCTTTTTTTCTCTTTTTTTTCTGTTTGCTTGCTTGCTTGCTTGTTTGATACAGGGTTTCTCTGTGTATCTTTGGCTGTCCTGGAACTCACTGTGTAGACCAGGCTCAGAGATTCTCCTGCCTCTGCCTCTCCAGTGCTGAGATTAAAGGTGTGACCAATGTGTTTTTCTTGAATCCACCTCACATCAAACACTTCATAAAGATATTCCGAGTGTGGACATGAGAATGTTTCCTGTTTTCAGGAAACTTACAAGTGGGGGAGGAAACACATGGTGGGTCAGCCATGGAAGAAGGTGGCTAGGTGTAGAGGCAGCTGGGTGCCAGGGCTCCCTCAGAAGGCTGAAGAGCTGCCCATGAGCTGAGTCCTGAACAGGAGCACACACCATGGGCATCAGGTGGAGCCTGTGACAGCAGAGGTGGCAGGAGACGAGTGAAGGTGGTGGTAGTGGTGGCCTCCTGAAGCTTGAAGTCAGGCTTGGGGACACCCATAGCACTATGTAATTCACTTTGACTCAACACGGCTGGCTACATTTCATTCTCTGCACAATGCGTGTACTTATTGTTTCTGGTAGGCAAGCTGCAGGATGCGGGGCATTGACCAGAGCCTGGCACACAGCAGTCACTGATTTTACACTCAGTGTAAACCAGTGGTTGATAGCGGAGCTGGGGGACACCTCTGTGAATGTGTAAGAATGTATGAGGGACCTGGGTAGGGAGTGGGGAAACTCCCTGGCATCTGGGT